AACTTGGAGGTGTCATAAAGGTGATAACTGATTTTGCCATTCTTCCTTTTGTCTCCTGCTACTGAAATCTTATAGTCAGGTTCCAGAGATTTTGCAATTATTAGCGATGGATTACGCTGCCAATGCTGTCTTTGCAGTGAGGAGGCTATCTAATCCTTATGATCAAATGTGTACTGCATGTATATTGGGAAGATTTTGTCTTGAGTACACAAGTGAATGATACGGTAAAAGTACACTGAGGTGTTCAGGTTTCCTTGATTTCTCAAATATTGGTTAGAAACCCAGCAGATTAAAAAAATTAATTTCCCTAATAATCCCATCCAGAAAAAGAGGATGGGGGAACCAAACCAAAAAAAAAGCCAGGCAGACACGCTTATTCCTCACTAATAGATGCAGTGATAGTGGGGTGATGACTTACTGTCTTGTTGGGAATATACATCGTTCTACCTTGCTCAGTCTACAAGCAGTTGTGCGTGTCCTTCAGTCCTTGCCTACCAAAGGAAGGAAGAAGTATGGTAGAGGTGTACTGCCTTCTCCAGTGTCTCCTAGGTGTCAAATACCAGGTTCCTATCTTGTGTCTGATTGCTCCCTGTTCTGGTGATTTTTATTCAGACCACCTCCTCATGCTGCCTTAGGAGACTGGTGTAGGCTGCAAAACAAGGAGGATTTAGTGAATAATACCAGGGACTCTGAACTAATTATTCAGTTTTGTTCTTTGAAACAGACCCAAGGTCCCCAACCCTCTACCTCTGAATTTTCTTTCGCTGGCCAAACTATTTCTAGTAAACTGCAAAGTCTTCAATCTTCAGTTCCAGTGTCTACATGGCAGATAGAGCATTAATTATAAATCTCCTCTTCAAACTGGAATTGTTACTGTGTAGCGGAACTGGGGGCATTGCTACCTTGAGCATCAAAGATGACTGAAACTGTTGTGTGGTCACAAGATTGCAGTGGAAAATCCAGGTATAATGAGATAAGGCTACTGGAAGAAGGGCTTTAGAGGAATGCCATTGTTGTGCCTGACTTTGGACCATTGATTTCCATCCTACAGGACAAACTGAATTTGAGTTGTATACACAGCCCAATGGTCACAGAGCTGATGAGAGGAATTCGCTCACAGATTGAAGGGCTTATTACAGGCCTCCCTTCTCGAGAGATGGCAGCTATGTGTCTGGGTCTGGCACACAGGTGAGTTCCTAGAACAGCTCTTTCATCCCATGTCTGCTTTGCTCCTGTGTCTCTGGCTGTGCCGTGTTGCTTGAAGTATCTCTTGGTATGTGACATGATCTCATACTCTTAAGACACATTTGTATACAAAAACTTGTTTTATGAAGGAAGAGCTTTCCAGTTTGCACACACCCTTTAGGGAAAGGCTTCATCTTCACCCAAAGTGGAAGTTGATAGCTTTCCTTTACACGTTAAGTACTGTAGGATTTAGTTTGAAATGTCTCTGTAGCAGTCAAATGGTTCATTTGTAAGTCCATTGCCACTGAGAGACAAGATGAAGGCCATGATTTGCTTATTTATGCCAGCATAAATACCCACATAATACATAATGTAAATGTTAAAGGCAGAGTTGTCTTCCTACCTTGCTATTACTGCGTTTTAGGTCTAGTGGAGCAGTAGTTAAATACAAAGTTGTTGGACCAGCAGGGGGTCAAACATTCATTCATGAGTAATTTTTAATTCATATTCGGACATGAGCTTGTCCTGTCCATGAGCAAGTTAGAAACTGCTTTTTTGTAGCTAATTCCTTAAAAAGATGCGTGTTTGCTTAGAAAATGAGCATTAATATTGAAAAAGGACTTTAAAGATGCGAGTCCTCATTGACATCAAGTGTCTTTTAATGTAGCGTACTGAGAAATTGTAAACATACATTAAAGCCGGATGGTAATGGGCTTTCTCAGACAGTGAGAATCTGTTCCAGGAAGTTTCTTCTGTTGCTTCGCATTAGCGTTCTTGATATTTGCTGCTGGGTAGGTACAGTTTTGTGGATTGTCTCTAGCCACTGCAGAACTGGAAGTGCTGTTGACATGGGGAACCATGCAGAAAGAAACCAACAGCCAATTTCCTGCCACAGCATTCACATTCAATCTGCTGCATGTGGTACAGATAACCTTAACTTTTCCTTTCACCCTGGTCACGGGGCATGTGCATGTACACATGTCAGAGCTGTTATGAAACTTGGGTTGGTGTGGCTTCTGACCACAGCTGAAAGTGGTCAGTGGCATAGAACTGCACTGGTATGAATGAATGTATGGGCAGCTATATTCATGTAAAATAGGAATGGGTGGGACATACTCTGCAGCAGGATGTCAGGATGCTGATGAAACTGTATTTCTGTCTCCTCAGTCTTTCCCGATACAAGCTGAAATTCAGCCCAGACAAAGTAGATACCATGATTATCCAGGCAATTTGTGAGTATATTTAGAGCTTAAATTATTAATGGATTTGGCTTAGCATAGCTGACTTCTTTACATTGGTTACAGAAAAGTATTGCTGTCAGTTTCCTCCTAGCATGTTTCAGCAAATTGGGCACTGGTGTTCAGCTGGGCATAAGGTGTGTTTTCTTAATAGGGTTTTCCACAAGCAGGAACATTTTTAGTGTGATACAGTAAACTGGCACCCACTTTTTCTTAGCATAGAGATCAGCTGAAATACAGGCAGCGTTGGTTCAGTCCTCTGAGGACTTCACTTCCCAGAATGACTCCCTTCTGAGTAGTGTCAGGAGAATGGGTCCCACAGGACAGGATTTTCTGACCCTTCATTTTGGTGGTATCTTGCACAGAGGGCAATATAAAAATAGACTCTTAGGTTAAGCATGTAAAACACACTGCAGTGTGTAATGCTGCATTCTATCTCCTTACTCTCTTAGTGGAAAACAGGCTGAAATTGTAAATGCAGCTAGGAAAGCCCGTTCCTCATTTTTCCTTGAAGACGTCCACATCATAATAAGCATGCTTTCTGAGAAGCAGTGGTGAGGAATCCTGTTTGGAATATTAATTCCCAGACTGTTGTCAATGATGGAACATAGTTAAGCTGAAATTAATGATTTAATTCAGTTCCTTCGTCACTACCACTGAGACAACAGATGGGAATGTTGGTATTGCGTTAGCAGGAAATATTTTAGCCTCAGGGCTCTGTAGCAATATATGCTGTGGGTGTTATACTCTTATGTTGTCAATCTGGTTGTTGGCCATATCTGGTAAATGGTGAGCCTGTTGTGTTTGTGTTGGGTATATTTTTATTGTAAAGGTAACTAAAGGGTTTAATAAAATCTTTTAAATCAAGTGATTGAATACAACATCAGTTTCTCACCTTTAAAACATTTTTCCTTAAAGTTTATTAGATGGCTGAGTTTTACATCAATCTTGTGTGTTGCACCTTGGATCACTGAGAGGAAGAGTAACAGGCTGCTGGTCCCCTTCCAGGGGAATGTGCTTTGCAGCTGTTAAAGGATTCTGTCCAAGACAGTCCCAGTGATGAAACTTTCAGGCCACACTCATGGGAGTTCTAGTATTTCTATAATATTGTGCCTGGGATTATGCAGTTCTCTGAAAAGTAGACTTCTAATGTACTGCAGCTTATGTTTCATTCCAGTCTTTATGGGATAAAGTACTTCAGTTTATCTCTCTTTCCACTACTTAAATTTGTTGATTTGAGAGTTTTCCATTTTTTAGATTACCTTTTTAGAAAAAAAAAGTCTATTCTTCTTTCTCTTAGCACTGCTTGATGACTTGGACAAAGAACTGAATAACTACATCATGCGCTGTAGGGAATGGTATGGTTGGCACTTCCCTGAACTGGGCAAAATCATCACAGATAACCTAACATATTGTAAATGTGTGCGGAAAGTTGGTGAGTAATAAGGAGGCATTAGCTTGGAGAATGTTGCATGTTAGTATGCAATGCATTAATGGCCCTGATTTGTAGACCAGTGACTCGCTTGTCCAGCTAGTCGTGACCCCGTATACAATCCCGCCTTCAGCAGCGGTGTAAATAGGACCAGTAGAAAAGTGGTGCATGCTTGCATCTGTATGTTGATGCAATTTACCATTTTGAAGCTTAAGAGAAAGCTAATGCCATATCACCAGTCAGTTCTTCATGGACCACCAGCATATCTTCTTAGAATCACAATTAGTCAGCAGACCAGTTTGGAAATTAGCTGCCAAAAACTGATGTAAAGAGAATTGCTGCTTGTTTGCGGGTGTTCTTGGAGACAACAGCTGCTGGAATTATTCATAAGAGCAGAAAGAACGACAACTGTAATATTTTGGACACTTGCTTTGCCTCTTAGGCATGTGCTTTGTATTGATGATTTTTTTTTTTTTTTTAAAGAAGTTTGCAGGCCAGAAAGAGACTTAAAATTATAAGGGAGCTTTTTTCCCAGTTGTAGGAAGAATTACGCAGGTTTGGTTAGTGGTAAATGACTGCTCGCTTCCTGGAATTCTTCCTTTGTAATCTTGTGACTGAAAACTTTGCAGCAGCAGCTACTGAAAAGGTGAGGTATGCAGCATTACAGAATAAGGGCTTTCTTTTTCTAGTTTCAAATTTAATATTTCCAACCATTCTCAGCTAGTATAAACATAAAGTCAGAAGACTGACATATATTTTTGGGAGTTTGGAATAGGATGACAGCAGATTTGACTCACTGTTGTTATTTTGGCCTTTTATCTTTGTCTGTTTCTGTGCTTTTTTACTAGTTCATCTCACCCTCAGCACAAATATGCTTTCATCTGTCCCCCACAGGAGACAGAAGCAATTTTGCCTCCTCTGATGTTTCTGACATCCTACCAGAGGAGATCGAAGAGGATGTGAAAGCTGCCGCTGAGATTTCCATGGGGACAGAAGTATCAGAAGAAGACATAAACAACATAATCCATCTCTGTGATCAGGTATGTATACGTGGATGAACAGCAATTAGAAATCCAAATTAGTTAGACATATCAGAGCCTCTTCTACCAAGGAGAGGTTTTCCCAGGGCGTTGCTAACGCACTTGTGATGGCAGTGATGATTCCTATTTTGTTGCTCTCCTGATTTACAGGCATGAGGGTGCACAGTCACTACCTCATCTGAGCCATCTGACTGTTGATGTCTGTGCAAAGCCTTCCAAAAGTGTCAGTCTTTTGGTTGGAATTTTGGCATCATTGTGCTTTTAAGTCCCTGAGATAATGCTACTGTATAGCCTCTTTTTAATCTGTCACTCTTGAAGCTAGGTGATAAACCTTGGGTTAAAAGTGGGGCACTGAGGCCCAGAAGAGTTAGGACCCCTATCCTGCTTTCATCTAGATTGTATGTGAACTCCCTCTGACTTTAGTGGTGCCAGTTGGATCCCTTTGTGACTTTACCAGGGAGTGGCAGGTTTAGGAGTAGTGAGTTCCTGTTCTTGGTCTAGACCAGGCTGCTTTTTTATGTGCATTCTAATTGTGTGTATTTGTATGGAACCAGTAAAGAGCATTTATCCCATTTCAAGAGAATGGTGACAAAGATTTATGTGAAAACTGAATGTTCCAGGGTTTTGTCCTAAAGAAAATGTCCTAAGTATTTTTGTTCTGCTTCGCTGTCTTTGGCATGTTGTCAGCTCCTTTATCAGGAGCTTTGCTGAGAAAGTAAGTTGTATAACGGAATGAGCAATACAAATCCAATATACTTTGTGGATGGAGCTCTGCTCTGGGATATGCCCTATATAAAGCTTTCTATAACTCTGGTTCATGGTTGTCTGTGCATTTTGTGTTTTGTTAGTCTCCCTCATTGGAATCATCACCACTTCTCATTTCAATATATTTAGCTTTTAATATTTGTCGATCAGCTAATACTGATTCCTGTAACCAAACTGTCTGTGCCAGGTGATTGAAATCTCTGAGTATCGGACACAGCTGTACGACTACCTGAAGAACAGAATGATGGCCATTGCTCCTAATCTTACTGTTATGGTGGGCGAACTGGTTGGAGCAAGGCTCATTGCTCATGCAGGTGGGTTACACTGATCAGCGTAAATAAAGCTTAGATGACCTCATCAGAGGTTTTCTCTGAGGAGCTGGTCAGCTAAAAGCATTATGCAAGGCTCTGATGAACATCTTATGGTAAAGGTGAGAAAGGTGGCTCTTGAGGAATCTGAGAATACCAACACAACCTCAGTAGTAGTCTGTGATGATGAAGTTCTCAGTTGGCCTGAATCCTTTCTGGAAAATGAGGGCAACTTAAGTCACTACCTCTTCTGAGACGCTTACTGAGCCTCCTGCTGATACTCTAGTCACTTCTGAGGTAAAATGCTGACAAACTGGCATTAGGCTTTTATAGTCAAACTGGCTCAAGGTAATGGCCTTATTTCACTTACCTATGCTGCAGTTCTGTGGTGACACATTCTTGCTGCCAGACTTTGTCAGAAGCAGGCATTAGTCCAGTAGAATATGTTTTACTGAGTCAGCTGCCTTTTCTGTTGCTGAAATCAAACTAAGACTGAGTTAGTTGAGGCATGAAAGACTGAAATGGCTTACCTGAACATGAAAGAGCTCTCGTAGAAATAGATGGCTCTGACCTTCCTACTTTTGAATAGCATAGGAGTAGCCTCCTGCTTCTCTAGCTGCTCCTTTGACGAATTACTATTGCTGTGTTACCTCCTTCTAGGTTCCCTCTTGAATCTGGCAAAACATCCAGCTTCAACAGTTCAGTTACTGGGTGCTGAGAAGGCACTCTTCAGAGCACTGAAGACTAAACGGGACACGCCTAAATTTGGCCTTATCTATCATGCTTCCCTAGTGGGACAAACCAATACCAAAAACAAAGGAAAGGTGAGTTGCAGAGTTGTTTACCAGCTTGGCTTTTTCCACAGCATGAGTATCTGTCGATGAGATGGCTTGAGCTTCACAGTGAGGCTCTTACCATGGCTTGTTTTACCATATTGCTTCGTGGTTATGTGGAAAATGCCACTGTCCCATAAATCCTTGGATGTCACTAATTCCTGTTCAAAAAACCGAATAGGA